TGTCCATCCTTTAGATCCAATTGTAATAACATCGACAATAATAAATAAAAGTTGCGAAATTCGCGAAAAAACGAAACATGCGCGTCTCTTCTTTATTTTTTTTTTAGTTAATTAACTTATTGCGTATACATTACACTCTTGCAAATTCTGCACTTGACCCCGTAACCGAAGCCTCAGGAACGCGTCAGTGTTTCGTACAACTCTATATATTTTTTTTAATTCTTTTCTTTCGATGATTACTATTTCGTGCTTTCGCTCGGCTATTTATATTTTACTACCAAACTACGTCCGTCAATGAAACGCTGTTTTTAAAACAAGTCTTCTATTACTTTTTTTTTTGTTGGTCTTGAACTGTTACACAGACCAATTGCTCATCTGAAGGAAGGAGCGTCTCTCTAAGGTTAAGGTTCGCCGCTAATGGAATTACCGTATATCCATCTCCGGGTTTACAATTGCAGAAACGTCTGTTGTTTAACCCCGAGATCAAGATTACGGTCAATGCAATTTCAATTTTTTTTTTTTTTGCAACAGAAACATTCTTGTAGGAGATGTAATTAAATAAATAAAAAAGAAACTGCTGTTGCGATTTGCTTAACCATGAGAGAGAGATAAGAATTTTTTTTTGCGATTTCGTTCGGTTCGTGTTCGGAATGAAATTTACTTAACGGACTAATTATGCGTTTCTCGAGATAACGATATTTTGGTTGTTGGTATCGTTCGTGCGTGCAAATTACGGATATCGATTGAATTTTCAAATCGAAGATGAAAGTCTAATCAAATATTTTGATAACGAAACACCGACGTGCGTGTATTTCGCAGAATAAATTTATTACATATAGATTATTCAATTGAAACTACGACTTTGTCCTCAATAGATCGAATCTAAATTATGATGTATTCTCATTGAACTATGAGAAATTGTATATAAAATGTATCTCACGTCGATGCAGACAGAAGGACAAGCAAGAAGTGTGCAATTTCTTTCGAATCGGTAAAGATAAAAGTAAAAGCAGTTCCGGAATATGAGTCAAGTCAATCTCTCTCTGACTATAGGTCAACCTCTATAACCGGTGCATATCATTTTTTTTGTATGATCTATGCAACTTATTTTGTCATCGCTTCACCTTAAGCGAATTAACATTTAGCAACAAAGTGTCTTATTAATAATGCAGTTTGAATTTATTAATTACTCATTCTGACGTTTGAGTAACACATTTATAGATCGGCTACAAAGTTGCAAATATGAAGGGCTCAGGTATTGTCAAACTATAAATGTTAGTTAAAGAATCATTGCGTTGTGTAATTGTGTATTTTGGCGGGCTGAATGGGTAAAGTTTCTAATTGTGTTAAGAGGGTTGCATACGATGGGATTGAAACTTTTATAGGTCTTTGGTACAGTTGGAGAATGCGGTTAGATTCGCAGATTAGTAGTAGTAGTAGTAATAACATTGAGCTGCTTTCGAGAAATGGGTTTGGCTTCGGATGAGGAACCTTGGGTGGTGGTGGTGGCGACGGGGACAGCGCCTTTTTTACCCTCGTGAACAGTTTGAATGCGAGGATGAAGGAAGTCTGTAGGTGAATGCGGAAGAAAGCGGACTCCTTAAAGGTCGGACGCGGCCTTTTTCCGCGGACCGCAGCTAAATATAATATGCGAATTTCTGCGGCGGAGAGGGCCGAGCAAACAAAGTTCATGTGCTTACATAAACAGATTTCCTGCACCTTGACCAGTTGCTATCACGGCTCTACATATATTTTCCTCAGATCATCATCATGATGGTTGGTATATTTGGTATAAATGCCGTTGATCGTCGGATGTAAATACCGGCTTTATTTGGTATGGGGTCATCCTCTTTGCGGCGAAGGCTAATGAACAAGACTCCGGATGATTATTATTACGAGTTGTGCTATTTTAATTCGCGCTCGCACACACACGTGCCGAGCGCCGAGCAATTTTTTGCGTTTCCAATATATTCCGCGATAAATATTTGTTTAAAGCCTCGTAATCGCGATTCCAATGTACTTCTACCATTCGTTTCTTTTTTTACATTTCCTCACCGAGGATTTCCACTCGAATTTTCCACCCCCCACAAAGCAGAAAGATTGTCGTTAGTAGCAACGAGTTTATATTTATAAAAATGTAGTATATATATATAAATATTATATTATATATATATAGATAATATGTCAAGGTCGAGATTTGTACACGTGTTCCTCACTTTCTGTTCGCCGTGCGGTGGGGATACCTACACTTTACTGAGCTAGTGTTGTAGACTGGTGTGTGCTGTAGTTGTAGACGTGGTATTTTTTTTTTATAACATACAGTGTACATTCACGTGGAGAGAGAAGACCGCGAGGTCAATTCCCGCTCTGGGATTATATTTAAAACTCTCCTGACCGAAGTTGCGCGTCTCTCCTCTAGCAGCAGAAGCGTCACACCCACATATTTGGAGGTCCGCGAGATTATGCCTCAACCCTCGCGGTTCTAAAGCTCCGAAACAGATGATGTTGATGAAGATGATGTAGTAGAAGTAAAAAAAAAGAAGCTCTGTACGAAGCGGTGGCGGCGGCGACTGCAGAGGATGATGAAGAAGAGGAGGAGGAGGCATCGGCCTCTCGTACATTTTCACCTGATACTTTTATCAATTTAAAATTCCGTTAGTGGCTTAAGGAATGTGAAAGGTCTCTCTCCGTTGGCGGATCCAGTTTAGAGAGAACCCGGACAACAATCTCTCGATACACCGATGGAGAAGAATTTTTATTTCTTTTCATTATGCTCCTCTCCTTTTTGTACGTTTTCCCCGAAACCGATGAACACATAAATGTATAACCGATTTCACATCCCCTCAGGTACCCACGAAGAAAAGCATTAAAATCAAAGATACCAAATAATATAAAAAAAAGGGTAAAAAAAAAATCTCACCCTTTTCCTTCATTCACGCTTAACACTACCTGTCCTGTCCTGTTTCTTCTTTTCCCGGAATCCCCTTATCGCCGGAGACGCGTCAAGTGGGCAGGATTAAAAGAGGCGCCGGTACAGTATACTGTCTTATCGCAAAGAAACCGATTGCGGATAATTAATTGCAACCTTGGTACCACTTACACCTTATAATTACATCATCGACGTTTTTTTTTTGTGCGTATCGCACTCCTTGTTCTCCTGTATCATTGTTTAATCAATTGGTGGGATTTCTTTATTGCAACTGTAATTTATTGTCGTTTGAAGCTGCCAAGAAAATTTCTTAAAAATAACCATTTTGAATATATTTTCAAATAAAATCATAATGTAGTGGAAAGTTCTTATGATTCTTGAATAAATTTCTAAAATACATTGACAATTCATCGTAGATTTAAAATTGATCATCGTCCAAAACATTCTAATTAATTTAAAATCAATAAATATTACTAATTTAAGTAAACTAAGAAAGTTTCTAAACGTGAATTTCGAATATGAATCGAGTGTTTGGGATCTTTGACTGGAATAATTATGAATAACTTTAAATAGAAAATGTAATTTATTAAAACAAAAATGAATGAATGTGTAGAATTTGAGAATTCTCTAATTAATTATTCCTGTTCCATTAAAAAGAAGGAATGTTCAACAGAAATGAAAGAAGAACGTAACTGAAATTAATTCGAATATATATTGTGATTGGATGAAAAGGTTTGAAAGTTGATCATTGCTACACGCGTGATTAGGTTCCCAAGAACTGTAACTAATCTTAAGTGCGATATGCGTCTTACGTAAAGTAAACTTTAATGAAGTTGTAGAATCTGGGATCCGTGTAATTAATTATGCCCGGGTCCATCAAAAAGAAGACGAAGAAGAAATATAAAATGAAGAACCTTTTTCGGAAGATAAAAATAAGACCCGGAGCCCCCAGAATCCAGTTTCTCGGTTAATTATCATTACGTTTAATTCGTCTGCGCGAGTGCTGCACCGTCGGAACTTTCACTGTGCGCGCATTTTTATCTCGACCACAATCTCTTGCTTGCTCGCTTGCTGTTGCTGCCCTACCAGAGGACGAAAGAGGTAGAAGGATGGAGGACGGCGGCGGCAGCAACAGCAACAGCAGACAGACAGTTGCAATCGTTGAAGCCTTTCCAGCACCACTCCAAATTTCATTAAAAGCAAATTGTTGCGCAACGATCGCCGCCAACGAAATGGTATCAATGTTGGAATTACACATTGCAGCGGGGCAAGAAATGCGCGAGGTGCGACCGAAATTCCAAATATTTACACCGTTCCTTCGTTTATCTCTCCGCACCATTCTAAATATATACTCTGCATACTAGAAAAAAAAAACGCGAATGCACGAGGGGAAAAAACCGTAAATAATAATATTGCATCGCGGATGTCCGCAAGTTTCTTCTTCTCCGCTTCATCTTCAGTTAATAAATTAAGGAGAGAAATGTTATTTATAAATGTGTATGATTGAAAGTTTCATTTAAGGAATTATTGATGTACTCGTAATGCTCTTAATTGATTGAAGAGAAAAGCTTTTCGTTTATTAAGTTTGTTTGAATGTGGAGGTAGAGGAGATGGGAGGAGATTGGTTTCGTGTAATGATGATGGTAAATCGGCTGTGAAGTTATGAAAGTTGCGGAATGCATTGCGGATAATTGGTTTTCCGCGGAACGAGGATTCAGTTATTTTTATGGTCGGTCACAAAGAGGGATCACCATCATCATCATCATGATCATCGGCATTGTGTTTGCTGCGTGTCCGTCCGTGTATGCATATGCAATGCAGAGACGACGAAGGCTCTCGAGGAATGCGAAAAGTCTTGAGCGGCGCGTAAAAATCGCGCTTGCCAGCAGCTCGAGAGACCGGCGCTGACGTAACCGAAAGGAATTCCAGTCGCGGCCGATGCGTATCCTGTGCAACAACCGTCGGCCATCGCTGCCTTCTCTTCACCATATACTCTTTTCATGTCCTATCTTGTCTCTCGTTCAATCTCTCCGTGCGGTATTAAATGGATTCTTTTCTTTTTGATTTACAGAGGAGGAAATCGATGTCGTGTCCGTGGGTGACCACAAGCAGACCGTGGCGAGCAGCAGGATGGCCTGCGTGCTGCCCAACAACCCGACCATCCGGGACAAGCACCAGATCCAGAGGACGATGGCGTCCGCGATGACGAAGAGCGGCATCAAAACAATGCTGCCGAGAAAGTCCGCAGCTGGTTCTGCGGATCAGGGAAGCAGTCAGCTTCATCAGCAACAACAGCAGCAGCAACATCGTCACTACCAGCAGCAACAGCAGCAGGCAAAGAGACGCGCGATGGAATCGACGCGGGGAATCAAGAGGGCGAAGCACAGATCTCCGCCGTCGTCGCCGTACAAGAAGCGCTCATCGTACAACCACAGCAGCGACAGCGAGCCCGAACCGTCGGAGAAGAGGAATCTGCACAATAACATGGAGCGTCAGCGGCGGATAGACCTGAGGAATGCCTTCGAAGATCTCAGGGTTTTGGTACCGGAGGTCAGCAAGAGAGAGCGCGCCCCGAAGGTGGTCATCCTTCGCGAAGCTGCGTCCTACTGCGATCAACTGGGCGACATCTCCGACAGCATGAACCGCGATATCGACGACCTCCGGCGGCAGCAGAGATTCCTCCGCTCCAGAGTATCGCAGCTCAGGCTCAGTCTAGCCTCGAAGCATCGATAAGCTGCAAAACTATTATACTAAGCATTAAATAAATAATAACTAACTATACGTTATACAAAAAGAAAACCTACCGCCGTCAACCCACACTGCTACATATATACTAGGAGGTAGGTCTCAAACGATAACTATAATAAACATAAAAACTACATTACAAAGACACGAAGTGGAAAAAGAGGACGCTACAAATATATTATTATTATTATATATACAGTTTATTTTTCCATAAAATGAAAACGCGAAGGGAATTTGGATTCGATTTTACACATACATTAATTTTAAACGAATCGATATCTATGATTCCTTCGCGCGCTTCAAAATTCGTCAAGAGAAAAATAAAGTATATTTAAACAAAAAAGGAAAAAGAAGTAAATTAAATAATATTAACTGTGATTTTTTTAACATTGCATTGTATTTCTGTTTTAGTTTTTTTTTTTTTCATACTAGGGATTTAGAATTTTTCGTAATTTAGTTTTTCATTATTTTTTAAATTAATTATTAATTTGTTATACATATGTTTGTTTATTTTTATTTTATTATTATTATTTTTATTTTCAAACACTATCTCTCTCATGCACACATTATTCATACACACACAAAACATACAAAGAAAACAAACTTTTCTCTATTACTATTACATTTTCTTTCTTTGTAATATTGAAAGAAGAGGGCGCTTTTCCGACTTCTGATAAAAGGAAAAGTCACGCCCCGCGCGATCCCCCTTTTAAGACCACGCCCCAACTCCCAAAAAAACAAGAAACAAAAAAAAAAAAAACTTGTATTTGTTTCTTTCGAAGCGTTGCCAACCCTGAAAATTTTCTCCCCCGACACACACACAAAAAAAAAACAAAAAACTGGAAACAACGCAACGTGTGTCTTAATCTTTTACTATTTACTCTTATAACCTGTTAAATTTCTTTGTTCGATTTTTATTTCGCATTTTTCTTTTTGCTCGTGTATATACTATATATTTGAAGAAGTAACGTTTAGGGATGTACATTAATTTCGTTTTAGTGCTTAGTTTAGTTACACATTTCGTTTTTTTTTTTTTTTCATTAATTTCCACACTTCTTCTGTTTTTTTTTACTATTCGTTTCTTTTTGCGTGAATGAAAATTAATCTTTTTTTTATATTAAAAAAGTGATACAAAATATTACGAGAAACGCGAGTTCAAGGGTCAATGCGACCCTTGAATTCTGTACATATTATACATACATATATATATATATAAAGAATAATACTAGATCTGCCCGGCGTTTTTTTTTTTTTTCCGCTCTTCCCCTCAGCGCATCTTTAGGGTAGCGTTTTATGTCTCAATTGTTAAATAAATGAATACATACTACTTAAACAAAAAAAAAACGCAGGGCCGTCTTTTCTTTTAGCTCAAATTTGTTTTATATAATTTGAATTTATACTACTATTACTATTATTTTTTTGGGTATGTCGTAGCTTTATTTAGGTTTTAGTTTGTTTAAATATCTTTCTTGGTATTTTGTTACATTGTTAATTTGTTAGTAGTTATATAACTAATTGTTTTTTTTTTCATCATTTTTTTTTTGTAAACTATTTATATATGACTATATATATATATATGCATATATATATAATCTGAAGAAAATGAGTAATGCATGTCTAACTATTGTTTCGAGAAAAAAATACAAATAATGTGATAATAGTTTTTTTTTATGTACAGTTATATAGTTATATATATATATTATATTTTGAGGATTTTTAAACTTTGATCAGCGCTGGAAAATGGAAAAGCTCGCAAAGCAGATACGAATCGAAATAATAATATTAATGATGATGATTTTTGTTCGCACGGTATTTGTTGTTGAAGATCACAAAATTCTCGGTGCCAACACCTCGAAGGGTTCCACAAAATTCGCTTTTTTCTGTGTTTTTTTTTGGTTTAATATATATATATACACTATACGAAATATATTATTGAATGTAGAGAACAAATTGTAAAACGTCTTCCTCACAAAGTAGATGTTGTTTCGGTTTTTTTTTTATTTGTTTTCAAATTAAATTAGTCGTTAGATCAAGAGAATTGTTGTGTTCACATACATATATATATATATATATATTTAGCGAAGATATATATATTTTACAGTATTTTATACATTTGATATAAAAAAAAGTTTTGAAAGGAAAATAAAAACGGTAAAAAAAGATGTAAATGAAAAGAAAAGTTTATGAAAAATGTTTTATTCTTGTTTGTTATTAAAAAAGAAAAACTACAGTGGATCTCTTGTACGCATACAGCTTTGTAGAGCTCCTCAGTTCAAAAAGAAGACAAAGGCGTTAACGAAAAGCAGGGCAATTCTCTAATTTTATCGACCTAAAAGCAATGTTGAGATTTTTATATGATATATCTTTTATATAAATACACACAAACACTACACATGTAAAATTTGAAATATGTATATGTATATATATATAAAAATAAGTAAAAGCCTCTGTGTAGAGAGTTCCAAATAATTATAATTAATTGTGAATCGGATGAAATAAAAAAAAAAACTACAAAATCTTGTGAACCTAAGATTTATATAATATATATATATATACATATATATATATTTAATAGCCACTACTGCTTATATTTTTATATGTATATAATGTTCGTTATGTTGTACTTACCATTAATTTACAAATTTTTAAAGAAACAAACATTTGAAAATGGGAAAAAGAAATTGAGGATAAGGCGCAGAAATATATATTGATTATAAAAGTCGCGGAAAGTAATAAATAACGTTAATACTATATATATATCTCGGCGTATGCGTGTATTTTGTGTATGCGCGTATGCATCGAAAGCAAACAAAAAAAAAAGAAATTTATTTTGGTTTTAGTTCCTAAGTAAGTTTTACAAATAAAAATGTTTTAGCATTCAAACTCGATAACAGTTTTGTTTTTATTTTATTTCTGCTGCACATTTAATTTTCCCCACATCCCAGCTCCAAATTTTTCTTTTTAAGTATCTCAGTTCTTTTGTTGTGAAGAGAATCTGATGATGCTGGAAGCTATATCAAAGTAGGTTGCATTACTTGAATTTGAAGGATGCTGTTCTTGTCTTCATCTTATGGTCATTTTTGAGAAAAAAAAACTTTAAAAGTTGCACCAAGTTGTTCAAATATGTGCAATTTTTTCTATCATGTAAGCATATTTATTATTACACGTTCTAAAATCAATATCATTGAGTGTTTGATAAAAAAATTATACCACCCACAATGATGGGAATCTTCTTTTGATCAAATAAATTATCAATTAGTTTTTCACAGTTAAGATTTAAATACAAAAAAAAAAGACTTCTATATCAACTACTAAATCTGTACAAAAATAATTTTATAAATTCTCATAACTAAATTGAAAGGATACGATTTTCAATGCTTTATTTCTGTAATCCAATACACTGCATGTTTCGTGTGGTTCTAATCCCAATTTTTTTTAAGTATCTCAGTCACTCTTTGTTTTTGTTGTGAAGAGAATTTGAAGATGCTGGAAGCTATATCAAAGTAGGTAAGATATAATGACGGGCGCATCTTGTTATATACTGATGACGCAGCCCTCGTCTTGCATTAAGAATTTGAAGGATGCTGTTCTTGCCTTCATCTTATGGTCATTTTCGAAAAAAAAAAAACTTTAAAAGTTGCACCAAGTCGTTCAAATGTGTGCAATTTTTTCTATCATGTAAGCATATTACACGTTTCAAGTATTACGTTGACATCAAAGAAATTGTGTTTCTAAAATCGATATCATTGAGTGTTTGATGAAAGCAAAGTTTGTTTTTGAATTGTTGAATAATGTATGAAATGTAGTCGATGATGAATGGAAATTTCATAATTGTAAATAAATGTCATAATTTGAAAAAATAACTATTATGTAACATCAAGAAGATGCGCAATAGAAGACCTTTTGATTTAATCAGAAATTTATTTGAAAAGATTGACACTTTTCATGTGTAATTCAATAAAAATACGAAGTTAGCATTTTCTGGTTTATTCTGGTAGTTAGTTCTTGAATAATTCGAATAATGCATAAAATGTAGGTGAATGGCAGTGTCGTAATTGTAAAATCATTTTAATTTTTAAATATCGGATTGTTTGCAAATGCGCCGACATTTAGTTACCATTTAATGTTTCCGCAAGCTTGAACTTTATATTCGGACTAATTTAAATAAATCAATTAATTAGAAAGACAAGGACAAGAAGGAATAGTGTTTGTGAGTTGTCTGTGTGCATTTGGTTTGGAAAAGAGAAACGAGGCAACTTCTGGTATCATTTATTTTGCACAGCTCTGCTCCTCTTTCTCCCTCATCAACCGCTGCGTCCTATCTTTGGCTCTCTTGTGTCTTCCAGAATGCAGGTGCTTCTTCCACTGGTGCTGCCCGACGAAGACCCTCTGGCAATCCTCGCAAAAGTGCGTTTCGTCCTGCGAATTCGGCGTCGACTGTGTGCTAATTTTGCGCAGAGGATTACACGGACACTCCGTGCCGTCGATGACGCTCTGGATGATTCCCACTGCGGGATCGGTGATATCTTCCTGCCATTTCCCTAAATCATCAGTGGTCAATCCATAAACGGGAGGAACCTAAAAATGAAAAAAAAAAAACAAACATTGCTTTACTACTGCGAATCGAATCGGATTCATGAATTTAAAATGCACCGTTCTGCCCGTATCTCCCAATAATCTATTGTTAATCCATCTGCACTGTTTCCTGGCATACCGCCGAGTCACCATTTTCAGCGAGTCCAACCCCTTCTGCAGCAAAAGTTTCCCCTCGTCGGAGTCGCGTTGGCACTCGTCCAGCAATAAATATTCATGGAACTCCTTCAAGCCAATCATTTGAAATATGCCCCTCGTGTAATCCGGATCGCTGGAACGCATTCAATTCGTATATATTATTTTAAATACAGAAAAACACAATAAAGAATGATCGAATAATAGAAACCTTCCATCCTGCAGTCTACGCTTATTGTATTCCCTGTGAAAATCGAGCAACTCTTCGACCAAACCGTTTTCCATCATCGCGTCCACTCTAGAATTAATTCTCTCATCTAAAACGGGCTAAAATCGCCAACATCAATTAAAAGATTCAAACAAAACTTAAAAAAAACAGTACTTTGTCCCATTGCAGCCAGAATATCACAACGTCGGAGAACCGCAATCCTCCACCGTGCGCGCTACCACCTTCAGATTTCTGTTGCTCGTTTAATATCTCGCTATGCAGCATCCCTTTCTGTTCCAGAATCTCCAAAGATCTTATAATCTTTCTCTTATTATTCGGATGCAGTCTATTCGCCATTTTCGGGTCGAGATCCTTCAATTTCTTATGCAACTCTTCACTAGGCAATTCGTAATCTTTGTTGCTTCGACCAGGCTCAAATTTCCGCTTCGAATTGGGATCGTCAACTAAAATCTTCCACAGCAGCGATTCTATATAGTAATTTGTACCACCCACAATGATGGGAATCTTCTTTTGATCAAATAAATGATCAATCTAATTTTTCACAGTTAAGATTTAAATATAAAAAAAAAGACTTGTATATCAACTACTAAATCTGTACAAAAATAATTAATAAATTCTCATAACTAAATTGAAAGGATACAATCTTCAATGCTTTGTTTCTGTAATCTAATACAGTGCATGTTTCGTGTGGTTCTAATATATCCACTAAATGATGAGGAGCTTCTGCTCTCTCTTCAACAGTCGGCTTTGCACTTATTATATCCATTCCCTTGTATATTTGTATCGAGTCAGCTCCTGCAAATGTAAACATACCCATGTGGACTTATTGTTGTTTTTATATTAATAATATGTCTTACCCAAAATTTCTCCACCAAATTTCTTTGCTAAGTCTATTGATAATTTTGTTTTCCCTGAGCCTGTAGCCCCTAGGATAACCACTAGAGGCAATTTCATATTGCTAACAACTTGCCTTAACATAAATAGCAGTAATACACTGTTCTCATTTATAGGTTATATTTGCTTTAGATTTAGTTAATGACCAAAAGGTGAATGTTAAAACAATAACACTGATATTTTTATTACTATTAATGTTAATATTAATAATTACAAAACAATTCTTAAATATTTAAAAATCTTTGAGTAATATTTCACAGCTCATAGAAAAAATAAAATTGATATATTTAAATCTAAATAAATAGATAAAATATAAGATATATTAATAAACTATTTAATTCTTAGTATTATAAACTAAATATTATATATATTTTAAATTATTAAAATAAAATGTTTCTTTTGAAATTTAAAAATCAAATATATTTCTCTTTGGTACCAGCAGATGGCGGTTAGTAGAAATATTCAATCTCCATTATCTAATTTATTAATTAACAAATTAATTAGACAATTAGATGAATGAATATAAAGTTGTAAGTATAATGTTTTAATCTAAAATTATTTCTAAATTAAGCTGTAAGCAAAAAGTAGGAATTAGAATAGCGCCAAAAGGTCTGAACTATGAACTTGCATATAACGCTAAGAGATGACCTGAAATTGTAGTTCTTTAGCCGATGTTTGTTTCTTTGATTAAAACCAATTAAAACATTAATTTTGTAGTATTTATGATTTATTTAAATACCAATTAAATAAAAAGTATGATGTGAATGCTTTTTGAAGTTGAAAGAAAAAGTTTTAGTTGAACGATTTTTGCCCTGTAGTCGTTTCTAATTTTCAGTTATTACTTTAAATTGATATAATTAATTAAAGAAATATTATTATTTACTATTATTTAATGTAGCAATGTTTAGTTCAATGCAATATAATTAATTTTATAGATTAATTAATTTTGTGTGAAAGAAGTTGCCTATATAAATATTAAAAGTGTATAGGCAACACAATTAACTGATAGATTTGACATTTCTTATCATAACAATAACAAATGTAGTTAAGCTAATTAATTAATATAATGTCTGAGTTTTTAGCTGATAATAATGTTTGTGGCCAAAGTATATTGCTTTTGGTGTCGAGAGGCAATGCAATCATATCAGAGATCCTTAGGTTAAAGGATTACGTTCCAGATTTATTCAGGTAAAAGGTTTTGAACAAATTTTTGAAAAATCAATAATTTACTTTTTGATTCAGATTATCCAAGCAGGATGGACAAAAATATGCAGATATCATCCTTGACTTTAGCTACTTCAAGATATCGGAGGCTCAGGAGCAGAAAATTGAGAGCAATGAGGTATGTGAACAACAGCTTCAATTGTTTGGATCCACAGGTTGTTTGTTTTGGTTAGGTGCTGAGAAATTTGGATGAGGAATTCAGGGATAATCACATCGATATCATAAGTCGTTTCTACTTTGCGTTTGAAAGTATTCACACATATATTAAAGAGCTGAACTGCTACATTGATGAGCTGGAAGATGGATATTACATCCATCAGAATATGGAAACTGTTTTCGCTGATGTGGAAGGAAAACAATTATTGGTAAATAAATATGTTTATTTTGTGATATTTTTTTTTAAATAAATTATTTTGCAGTGTGAAGCTTTGTATCTTTATGGAACTATACTTTTATTGGTGGACGCTCATCTCGAAGGAGTCGTTCGGGAACGATTGTTGGTATCGTTTTATCGTTACACGCCTCAAAGTAATGGCACCGAAAATTCAATAGATGAAATATGCAAATTGTTAAGAGACACTGGTATTAATTCAAAGAAAATTACCAATTATCCAGAGGATTATTTCAAGTAATTGGTTTATATTAAATTTACTTAAATTTTATTGATAATTATTTTGTTTTAGGCGAATTCCCATTAAGGAGAGTTATGTGGAATTAGTCTTGGGAAAGTTGAGGTCAGATGATGTTTACAATCAATTGACTGTGTATCCATTGACCAGACACAGAAGCACAGCTCTGGCGAATCAAGCTGCTATGCTGTACATCTGCTTATTCTTTTCACCTGAAATTCTACATACTCAAAACGCTCTGATGAGAGAAATCGTGGATAAATACTTTCCCGACAATTGGGTAATATCCATTTATATGGGTTTCACTGTGAACTTGGTGGAAAACTGGGATTCGTTTAAAGCTGCCAAATTGGCTCTTAGCAATACGGTGGAAAACGCGAACATAAAACATCATTCGGATAGGAACGGGAGGGTTGTTAAGGAACTCTTGAACGAAACGACAATGTTGCTGAAAGAAGGAACTGTAACCAGAGATAATTTGCTGCAAAATATTAATAAGATTGTAAACGTGGTCAGAGATTGTAATGTAGCAATTCGCTGGTTGATGCTGCACGCTATCTGCAAGCAAGGAAAAGTCGAGAAAAATAAGAAATGCAAGCAGTTGAGGGATTTGGTAATTGCCGATTCTAAATATGAAGCGGTAATCGTTTTTAAATTGCTTTTGAATACTTCGCAACTGGAGTTGCTTATCAAAGATATCTACAAGAATTTGATAAACGAGAAGGAGAAGCGTTGGGAGGAGTTGAAGAAGGAGAGCTACGAGATGTTGGTGGAACTCTCGGAGATTTTTAGCGGAGAAAAACCTTTGACTCGCATACAGAAAAATACGAATTTGAAAAATTGGTTCCTGGAAATCTCCAAGCAGGTGGACAGTTTGGATCCAAACTTGGAGAACGCTTCAGTGAAAATAGATCAGTTGATACAAGCGTTGGAGGAGGTGCAGGAGTTTCATCAGCTCTCTTCGAATATGCAGATCATCCAATTCTTATCCGATACGAAAAGGTGTTTGAATCATATGATCAGGAACATGAAGGTCAAAGAGGACGTATTGATCACGCTGCAGATCATCGGGGATATATGTTACGCCTGGGATTTAATCGATTCTTATACGCCTATAATGCAATTGGGAATTAAACGCGAGCCGACTCTCGTGATCAAATTACGCGCCGTCTTCTTAAAATTAGGCTCGGCGCTGGAGATACCACTCCTTAGGATAAACCAAGCGCACAGCGAAGATCTGATCTCGGTGTCGCAGTACTACAGTAGGGAGCTGGAGATCTACATCAGGATGGTGCTGCAGATCATCCCAAACGCAATGTTCGAGAAGATGGCCAGAGTCATCGAGATACAGACGTGCATCTTGAAGGAGCTGCCGACCAAATTGGAGAAGGACAAGATCAAGGAGTACGCGCAGCTGAACGAGCGCTTCGAGTTTGCCGAGTTGACCCATTCGATTTCCGTATTCAGTCAAGGTATGGGAAACTGATCTGTTGTAACTTTACGAATCTTCTTCTAACTCGCGACGTTTAGGAATGCGCATGATGAAAACCACTTTGGTTGGAGTCGTGTATTTGGATCCGAAGATGCTGCTCGAGGATGGCATCCGTAAGGAATTGGTCCAGCATATTTCGAAAGCGTTGCACTGCGAATTGATTTTCAGCGCTAAAATGAAACCCGACGAGTTGGAGCAGCGATTGCGGAGTTTAGGCAACATTATGGATGGATACAAGCGTTCTTTTGAATACATACAAGTAAGATTAACATAATAACGTGTCTGCAATGTTTTTGAATGAGTTGAAAGAAATCCATATACAAATTATTAGTGTTTAATATATAAAAATTATATTGTATATTGGTATAATATTAGGATTGGGTTCATCTGATACCAATTCATAGTTTAAGTTTAATGTGCGGAATGTAACTACTAGACACGTAGCTGCCAAACATCTGCATTTTCCTTACTAATTCGAATCCATTTAAGGATTACGTGAACATAAATGGATTAAAGATTTGGCAAGAGGAGGTGACTCGCATTATAAATTACAACGTCGAAAGGGAGTGCAACGGTTTCCTGAGGAATAAAGTTCACGATTGGGAAAGCTCTTTTCAGAGTCGCTACGTGCCGATACCTCACTACGCGCCGACAGATTCAGTGAGCGAGAATTTCATCGGAAGATTGGCGAGAGAAATATTAAGAATCACTGATCCTAAGTAGCTTTAACTGTTATTTATCGATAAAGCGGAACTGTAATCAGATTTTCCAGGTCTACAATCTACATTGCACAGACCTCTACCTGGTACGACATCAAATCTCAAAAGATGATTGCAAACAAGCAGTTGATCTCGTTGATCGCTTCCGGTATTGAAGTTACCGGTTTGGTCGGCTTGGATCGTCTGTTTTCTTTTATGATCATCACCAATTTGAAGAACATTTTAGGTTTGTGTTTGTGCAAATTAATTTTGCGTTTAATTACGTCTCGTTTTTGTTGAAATTGTTTTAGGGATATTGGAGAATAAGGATAAAAGGAACGCGTCCTGGCACAATATATTAACGCTGATCAGCAGCGAAATAAAGTCGACGAACACGTTATCGAATCCGAGCAAGTTTTATCAGAACAGCATCAGCCGGTCGTCGAAGCTCTTCGGTCCTTTGCTGGATCACATCCTGGCCGTCGGTCAACTGCAAATACTGAGGAAACTGATCGCCTTCCATCTGAACACTCGGTCAAAGTTCGACGCCAAATACTTGGAATCTTCGCTGAACTCGATGAACAAGTAATCTAACGTTATACGTTTACATAGAGCTTAGCGCAAAATGCTTTGTGCCCAGATTACATAGTTTGCCCCAATAAAAACGTTCATATAAAAATATCAGACACTAAACAAATACTGCAATCTATGTAAATAAGGCAGCTTACTCCATATTTAAACTAGTATAATTTAAGATTATTTATTTTATTGCTTTTTAGGGCTTTGTTAATCGAAATGAGTAACCCCAACGAATCGAAGATATCCGAAGAACTTCTGCTGAAACTCTCTCAATATTTCGATTATTCCGGCCTGAACAATCCTTTCTACAAGGTTTACGTAACCGGGAAATGCAACGAAGAGTACGCCATGAATTTGTTTGTTTTCACCATCTCTTATTTACCCAGGATGTTCCTGTACGGATGCTCAAGTAAGCAAACTTTTCCAAATACCATCAAATGTTCAGTTTCTTAATAATGTGTATACTGTGAGTATAATACTGGGTCTACTTTATTAGATGTGCTCAAACGGAATTTCGAATTCGATGGTGCTATATTCGTGAACGGTCTGCATACATTGCTGAAGCAATTCCATACGGATCTGAACAAGAAATTCATCTACCACCTGTGCCAATACGTGTTGCAATTAACCAAGCAGGCGATAACGTGAGTAAGTTTGGACAATGCGAGCGATCCAGTCGTGTAACAGATTCCGAGATTCCTGTTTGCAGGACACGCAACACCGACCTACCAATCGAGAGCCAAACCGCTGTCAGCTTTCTGGACGGTCTTTCCGCGCACAGCAAACAGTCCAACGATTACTTCAAGCTCTACATTCCCGAAGAACTGCTGCAGCTGTATTACTCCATCTTCAATGCGAATTGATACATAATCATCATCATAAACGCGGAGATCAACAGCTGCTCCAATTGTTTCTATCTGTATGTCAGATTAGATTCATGTAATCGTCGTGTTTGTTTGTTGTTTGTTTAAAATTCAATCAGCTATTTTTAGATTACGGCCGCTCCGCAGTGCATGCGTTCTATGGAAGGAGGAGAGAGACACAGAGCGGCGAACTTTCATAGCAACCACTAACCACTCGAAACTTTGTTAATATTTACTTATGTATGTGGGCCTCCTGTTCCGAAATTAATTTCATAAAAGGGGAACGAGTTTTTAATGGAACTTTCGCGCCACCCCTTCAAAAAAAAAAAGAAAAGAATTATCCACCCCCGAACAAAAACAAGTTTTTTTTTTTTGGAAAATTTCATGTACGCTTCAAACTCCGCAGTTTTTGGATCTTTCATTTTAATTATTTATTTTATATTAAACCAAAATAAAACTATTACGTATAAAGTAAATATAGATACTATAGAATTAATAATAAATATATTTATTTTGTACAATTATCTTTCATTTGATTTCTTTCATTCCTCAAATTTAGATTAGTAAAACAATTACTACTAATCATGTTATTATTCCTCGAACTGACAATCAAAACATAATTATATTGAAATTGCCAATAAAAAAAATACAAATTGATAATCTCATTTTTGTAAAATGTTTTCATTCTTCTATATAGAAATGTGAAAATTTTATATATTTTTCTGTTGTTTTGAAAATCCACTACACCTAAACTAAGTATTTCATAATAGTTTTGGTATATTGACAAAATTGTCAATTTATCACAACTAAACTACTTCCATCAAAATAGTTAAATTACAATTCTGTTCTTCATAAAATATTTTGAAAATCCATCATAATAATACAATTTTATTAATAAAAAATACTAATCGATCACGTTTTTTTTCTAAATATCTTGCTTTTCCAAAGTGTTTTCATACATCTTTATTATTGTTTTGTGTGTGTGTGTGTTCAACCCGTTTCGATTCTGTACTTTCAAACTTCGTTACGCTTTGTTTGTTTGTTTCTAGAGTGTTTGCATTATCTCGTCGGGCCGAAAATAGAGGAAGCGGATTAAATAATCTCTAAGGATCCCCGCGCTATAATTGGTTTCCATCAGGCCACTTTCATAATCTCGGCACTCGAGCGATTGGAAATGTGGATTGATGAAAAATAAAGAACGTACACAAAAACATATAAAATACTTTTGGATTAATTGTGTTAAATTTAACAAAAATAATTTATAAACTATGTTCGATATAAATTGATTTATACTTTTGTATAATCTTAGTGGTTTTCGGAATTTTATGTAATTTGAAGAATATAAATAGATGTAATTACCATTCGTTCTTTGTTGCTCTAATTAGAAGTTATTGTTTTCTTCTATAAACTTTGGTTTTCGATGCGAGTGTGAGGGTTGTTATCGTTGGATGAGGTCGATGTTGTTTCTGGCTGTTGATCGTTGGATGTGGTGAGGTGCGGCGGATGAATATGCAGAAAGGATTCGGCGTTTGGGTTTCGGGAGAGTGAATTGAACGTGATTTGTAACCGATGGATATCGGGGTATAAAATCAGCGCATGTTTCGCGTGCGAGTGTGTGGATGGGTGAGTGAGTGAGTGAGGGTCGTGTGCAATGAAATCTATTCCCGTTGTTCATTTTCAGAGACTATAAACATTGGTATGCAGTGTAGCGTGTTACAAATGTTGATTTCCTGTCGAAAGTGCTGTAGAATGCTGCGGAATCGTGGCTCGCATCTGCCCGGTTCCCACAAACGCACGCAAACACCACCCTCCCATCGCTTTGATGCCTCCGAAAATTAGCGTAAACGCTAATTATCAAGAACGTATCGTTCTATTTAAATAGTTAAAAGAGAAGGAAAATAAACAAGGAATAAATAGGAATTTGTCTTGTTGACCTAGGTTTCTCGTCGTCGATGTTGGTGATAGGAATCAAAGCCAAATGAAACGTGGGCGTTGGATAAATAAATGACGGGTGACTTCACGGATCACGTAGCCTCTGCCCTGACATTTCGGGACGCGTCGGAAACGGTTGGCCGCGCGCCACCCCCCATCACACCACCCCCTACAACGTCGAGGCAGAAGGTCACATCCTCCAGTTTATCATCCCTTCGCTCATATTTTCCGCGTTATATACGGCAGCACTTAAGTTTATTTAAACTCGATGCGGCAAATAAATTATTCTTCGGGTCCGGGATAAAAATAAATAGATGTTGCTCCTTTTTTTTTTCTTCTTCTTCTTCTTCTTGGTGGTGCGAGGGATGGAAAAAGGGGTTGTCTCTATGTGTCTCTATGGTCGTGGGGTGGAAGGAGAATTCGTCGTCCGCGAATTCTCCGGGCGGCCGTTTCAGGACACTTCGACGGAACGTAAAATATTCCCCATCAATAATTTATCAACTAGCGAAACGCGCGGGGAAGAAATAAATAAAATAAAATATAGAAAATAGTATGAAGCGAGCATCAAAGTTTCATCAGCAAATGAAATTTTGGCTACAACGAATCTCCTCTATCTACTATTTGAAGTATTTGTGTTGTATATGGAGAATTTGAGAACTTACAACATTTTTATTACTTATATCAGAACAGTTTATTCATCTAATTTCATTAATTAATGTGATTATTCTAAAAGGAAATTGTTACTTTTTTCATGAAAACTAATCAAATTTAATAGAAAATTACATTTATGTAAAAATGTATATGTAATCTTATTTCTAATAATAATACAATTATATTGAAAATAATTTATTTCTGAAAATTGATAAACACTATTATTTATGAATTACTAGTTCATTGAAATTGGTGCATTTTTGTACGTGTGTCAAACACGATTAAAACCATTGTATTCTTTAAACGCAATCTATTTTCGTCAAGTGCATAATGACAAAACTAAAATTAGTATCAAGATTATATTTAGATAACAGTTCCAATTGATTTGTGTTTATTATCGTTAATAATAATTAATCTATGGATAAAATCTGTTCGAGAAGTGATGTGGCAAATTTGTCGTGCTGCAATTAGCGTACACGAAGGAATAAGGGAATAATAAGGAGGAGAAGGAGTGGAGGATGAGGATGAGGATAAGAAAACGTGAAGAAATACTGCGAATTGGGGGGAGGCCGGAGGGGCTCTCGCGATTAAATCGCTCTGAGGATGCATATAATTATGCTAATCAAAGGGGATTATTCCGACGTTTCTGCGTGTATAAACCTTGCGGGAAGAAGAGCGAGCGAGTGAGAGAGAGGAACTCGAGGGATGTGCTCCGAAGCACCATAACTTGATATTCGAACAAAGGGTATAATTGAATATGGATCCAATAGCAAAGAAGCCCCAGAACAAAGGAGTCCATGTCTGAAGTCTACTCATTAATTTAGTCAGAATGTTGCCGAAGGCACTTCAATATCTCCATTAATAAGGGCCCGAGCTAGGCGCAAGTAAACGGAGAGAAATCCGTAGCAAATCTTCCTCGACTCACGCACGGCGCGGATTTTATTGCAACGAATTCGAGGGTAAAAGCAGGAAAAAAAAACTAATAACAATAATCATCATCGTCGTAACAACAATGCGGATTTTCCTCATCCATCGTGTCGGATGACGAGAGGGGTTGAGCGTTGCTGATGAATCGTGCAGCAGGGGCAGAAGCGACGGGAAGGAACGTCTCTTTATAATTTAACAAACTTGAATAAGACAAAGTTTTCCTATTAATGTTTTCGAACATCGTTAGTATAATTTTCGGGGTGAGAGTGGAGGGATGAAGGCGCGATAAAAGCGCGAACACCAACACACACACACATACACACAGATGCGAAGACAATTATTTAATCGAATTAACGTTTATTTCACTTCATTTGCTCCATTAATTACACTTCGGACGATTATTAAAATATGGAAAGTTATAACGATCCTCGTCACCTATTCATTTCAGTTTACCCTCGCAATCCTCTCGTACTTAACGGCAAATCCTCGATCTTCATCAGTCATCCAACAACGAACAGAATTTCTTAATTAAATCTTATTCAATAATACAAGTGTTCAGCGTTGTTTTATATCTTCAAAAATTTAGTACCAATTATACGAATACTCTTCATAAACTATCAATTTTTTATGATAACTAACAATAATTGATTTCAGAGTTTTTAATTTTAGAAAGTTTATCATTTTCTATTATTGTAATAGCTTACAAAATGTATATCATAATAGTTTAATTATTAGAATTGTTCATAAAATAATTAATTTTCAGAATAGGAATGTTATAAATTTAGTTAAATTATAATACCATAGATAATTGGTAACTTTGTTATTATACAAATTAATATAAATTTACTAAATATTAAGTATTACATTTCGAATAAAAATTACTTCTATCTTGATGATGGATTTTTTTTTTATTGAAGCTTTCTTTACTGTGGGTTCAAAGAGGTAATGAAGACTAATGTTAAGATCTTCGTTTTTATAGGATTCTGTTATCATCGTCGAAATGTTGAAAAAGTCTTTCGATGGAATCGAGGAGACGCGGTGCATTTGAAGATGTTCGCGGAGGCCGCAATAATGACGATGTTTTTTTTATAAAAAGCGCGACTTCTGTCGCATTTGGAGCTTTCCCGTCGCGTATCTAAATGTGAAACCGAAACGACGTCGTAAAACTTGACGACTGAAGAGGAAGGTAAAGTAATTCCCGTCGGGACAAAAATGCCTAAGTAGTGTGTAAATACGTAATCCGTTATCGATCTGCTAGATAATAATGATTCGATTCGTGTATAAAAGCGGATCTCGCACCTCCTTCGAATCGATTCCAATCCACGATGCGTGGACTCATTGTGACTTTCGCGGTTTTGGCCGTCGCCGCCGCCACCACCCAAACCACCTACGAAAAGTAAGTTTATTTTGACGAGGATGAGAAGAACAGTTTTCATATTATTGTTTTCTTTTTGTGCAGCTACAAGGTTTACCAGGTGAAACCTCAGACCGATGAAGAAGCTAAGGTGCTGTTGAGCTTCAAGCGTTTCACCCCGGAAATCGATTTCTGGAATGAATTGCACGCCGTTGGACAGTCCGTCGATGTCATGGTTTCTCCAAACCTTCAGCAGTTGTTCTTGAACAACCTGAGGAACCACAACATCGCCTTCTACGAAATCATCAGCGACGTTGAACGGTTTGTGAATTACCGCTTTCATATATGCACATCAATTAATTGTCTTGCTGTTAACAGTCTCTTCCAGAATGAGCGTATGAACCAGAGGTCTGCTCCGAAAGCTGCCGAAGGCAGGATCAACTTCGTCGAGTTCCACCGTTACGGAGTCATCGAGAGTTACCTGAAGAAAATCGCCGAAGAATACCCAGAAATCACCAGGCTTCGCACTCCAGCCAACACCACCGAAGGTCGTCCAATCTACATGCTGAGGATCACCACCGGAGGAAGCCAAGGAGGACAACACACCAAGCCAGCGATCCTCATCGATGGTGGAATTCACGCCCGCGAATGGATCTCTCCAGCTACCGTCTTGTACATCATCCAAGAATTGGTTGAGAACCCAGAGAACCGTCACATGATCGAGAATGTCGATTGGATGATCATCCCAGTCTTGAACCCAGATGGTTACGAATACACCCACACCAACGTGAGTTATCTTTAGAATTACATAATTTAATTTATTGTAAATAATGTGTTTTGTTTAGTCTCGTCTTTGGAGGAAGAACCGCTCCAAGGGAAAGAGATGTACCGGTACCGACTTGAACAGGAACTTCGGTTTCCACTGGATGGAAGTCGGCGCCAGCAGCGACGAATGCGACGATACCTTCGCCGGAAAGGCCGGTCTCTCTGAGCCTGAAACCGAAGCCATCACCCACATCGTTGGCAAGCACGGAGAGCAAATCAAGTTGTACCTGACCTTCCACAGCTACGGCCAATACCTCTTGTACCCATGGGGTTACACCTCTGCCCTCCCAGAGAACTGGAAGGAGCATGACGATCTCGGACACGCTGTCGACAAGGCCATCTCCGCTGTTGCCGGTACCTCCTACACCATTGGATCCTCCACCAACACCCTTTACGCCGCTGCTGGTGGTAGCGATGACTGGGTTAAGGGCGTCGGTGGCGTTCCAGTCGCCTTCTGCATTGAACTTCCCGGAGGCGGCTCCTGGGGCTTCGATCCTCCAACCTCCATGATCCATCCCGTCGTCACCGAGACCTGGGAGGGAGTCAAGGTCTTCCACAAGCACGTACAAACCACCTACGCCAACTGAATCAGTTAAACCTAATTAAGACAACATTGTAAATAAATTGTTATACCAGAAAACTTCTGGATATTATTCTAAATGTTCCTTAAAAAAAATGATTCCATTTAAACTTTCAGCTTTAATATTCATGTTCTATATTTATTATAACTCTTATAGAAATTGTTTTACGTTACTTTCTATTTGACAGAAATTACAGCCAAACTGGCAAAGCTACAATTTCTCCAACATACATATTTTAAACCATCAATATTCAGATTTAATTTCCATGTTCAATATTTATTCTACTTATCGAGTAATTAATTATTAAACATATAATTAACGTAAATAAGCAATCGCTTAAGTTTGAAATGACGTATATTAATTCGAAATACTAATTCGCGTAAATTGAAAATGCCTGCAAATCTGCGAACAAACGCGAAAATGAGAAAATTAAACTGGATGGTACTTGTTGTCGATGCGATTCATATGTTTATTTTTGTTTTGTTTTCCTTTTTCGGACCGTCGATTGGTTAATTGAAGCACAAGTTAATTAATTAATATTCATTGTTTTGGATTGGTTCGTCGGCAAGAGGGGTTTAGGGTGGTGGTGGTGGTGGTTGTGAGAGAGATTTGAGGAGAGTGAGTCGATGTCGGCGACATCGAGTGCAGCTAGCGCCGAGCTAAATTGGTTCATCCTCTCGACTCTGAAGAGTTTAAACAGTCAACATTCCGACAATGTGGCCCAGATGAGTAGAAACCCTTGAACAGCCGCCTCCTCCTCCACCCGCGAATCATCGTCCTCCTTCCATCCTCTCGTCCTTCGATTGTTTGCGCGTAAACAGGGAATTCCCCTGTTTGTTTTCATTCGACAACAACACAACGGGAGAACACACAGGCACTGTCATCGAGTACGAGAGAGTACGAGAGATAGAGATGAAGGGCACATACAAATTTCTATTTGTCGAATGATTTTAATTATTTCAAGTGGACAGGCGAACGACGCCGACGATTTCTACAAGTCCTTCTCCTTTTCCTCCTCCTTCTGCAGGACGAGATAATTGAATCGGTATTAAGGGCCCACCTTTCTCAACAATACAAATACCATAAACATGACAGACTTATTATCAGCATTCGAATACATTTTTCAATACAATTAATTAAATTGGAATTATAGTTGAAAGAAACATGAATACTTGTTAATAATGAGATAGGAAATAAAAAGGGAGATTTTGTAAATGAATTAGGGCTGCAAATTGAAGTAGTTTTCAATATGGGATTAATTGATTTTTTTTGTTTGTTTTGCGCCGGAGCGTTTCGAGTTGTAATCGTTTTCGGGGTAATAAGCATTCGAGCGAAGAGCTGGGGGCAGAGGTGGAGGCGGCAGCAGCAGAAGCGGCGGCGGCGGCGGCGGCGGCGGCGGCGGCAACAGGAGGCGTGCGATTTATCCTGACAGTGTAATTTCCTGGCCGGCAACTACCGGTCAGACATGCAAATTAGAAAATTACTAAAATTACTCCGGAATGCTGTAATTATCCCATCCCTCGGATCCGAAACGATGCGGACGCCTTCCCACCCCCAACTATTTACAGATTGCCGTTTGTTTTCTTCTTTCCCTTCCTACCAATTCGAATCCGAAGTAAATTCAAAGGAAAGAAAAATCCAGGACAGTGAGGAAATCTGCTTAATTATTACGCGATCAATTATAATATTCGCTGTTGACGTGTCCCGTGCAACGGCTATAATGAATTTTATAGATTCAGCAGGATTTCGAGCGAATTACGCTCAATGATTCATGCCGCTAAACCGTCGGGTCTACTCGTCCCTTATGCAGGACAGGGAGATTCCGCTGATGAAAATTCCATGATATTTAACAGAGTCCATTTCTGTACAGTGAAACATTCACGAACTCATGTTTTATTGAGTGCTCTCTGCATTAGTTCAACATTACCATCATCACCTTAAAAATTGAATCGAATCCTCGTATGTTTTTACCTTCGTGGCTTTTAAATTTCATAAATTGTAATAATAACTAACATCTACCCACCTACACACCAAACTTCTACCTGAACATCTCTTCGTTACTTTATAATTTCGGGCTTTCAGGATTTTAAGTTTATTCAAGTTGTTGTTTCATTCAGAATCTCGAATATTTTACACACTTTGTACGTAATCTGCAACAAAGCTGCTTTAACTTTATTTCAGATTTTGCATTTTGCCTGCGACAACCATTACCATGATTTTTTTTTTCACTATTAAAGTCCAAAAAGACTCAAACTTAATGGAAACAGTGAAACAATTAATTTTTTGAAGTTTTTCTTACATTTTTATCAACAATTAATTATAATTTAAACAATTAAATAAAATAGTAATTATAATATTTATAGCAGGTTTTAATTGATGAATAATGTCAGTTGTAATTTTTTTCTGAAGAAAATAAAAGTAATAAGTAAATTAATATTTTTCTGATAACTTATATAAAATTTAAGAGTAAAGGTATACATTTCACATTTTTTGTGCTTTTACTGTAAGTAATATGAATGTATTGAATAAAACTTCAATATCTTTAATGCAGTTTTAAGGGGGAATGACTGCCGGTAATGTCTGAGAAGAAGAAACGAATTCAAGTGAAATACTCTGCAGCGAATTCCCAATTGGGCAGCAAAAGTAGTTTGAAGATCGGGATCGAACGAGGAAGATGTGGAAGGAGGTAGAGCTTTTCATAGAAAGTCGAAACGCAAAGACCGGTAGAAACGAGCCGCGTAATAGGTGATACATGCATGTGTACCACTGCTACGTGTTGTTTAATAATTAATTTATAACTCAATTTGCGAACAACAACTTTACTCATTGTGTAACAATTCCGTATGCATTATAACCGCGGCCGCATAAATTCGCAGACGCCCCCTCTCGAAATTGCAATGAATAACCCAAGCCGTCGCTATTAATTTAATATTTAAAGTCCCTCGAAGGACAAGGCCTTCTCCTGATTATTGTTACGCAATACATTTTAGTCATATTTTATTTTTTTTATTATTGTTGTAGTTGTTGAAGGATTGGAAGTCGGTGATTAAGTGTGGATGTTCGGGACGTGTGTTTTATTAACCGGGGGGCGAGCGCGATGTAAGTTATTAAAAGTTAAGGGCAAGTGACTTGAAGGGTGGATGCGCCGGGCGTCACGCTCGACATCGGTGTAGGCCCATCAATCATCCTACTGCGATCCTTCAAGGATGAAGCTAATCAAGTGTGGAGACCCTACACGACTGCTGCTCGTTCGTATCGCCCTTTTCCAGCCGCTCACCCTTCGCCTCAACGAACCACCGAAAACCCAATACATTTACACTCCCGTCTATCTATACCGTCTATATATAATTAGTCCGGCAATAATAAATTTCCACCCACGACCGATCAAGGACACATTTATAATACCACCATCCATTTATTATCGATGCATTTGTCCGACCCACGTCAATTGATGATGCCGCTTAAAATATTGATCATTTCACAGAATTCACCCGAACCGAAATCATCC